CTTCTAGCTCCAACACCTCTCAGCAGCGCGCAACGAGCGACTGGACGCCAAAGGCTAACCGTGATGATTGTCTTGACTTATACATAGCCGCTGTGCAAAAAGACATAATGCGGGAATATCGCAGGCAGGCGGGAAGACGGGATAGCCTCACTAAATCCGAACGGGCAAGCTTGAAAACCCTGAGCAATAGGACAGACATAACAATAAAACCAGCCGATAAAGGAGGAACAATTGATTCTTAGCACTTCGGAATACAACCGAGAAGGAAACCGCCAACTAAATGACTCAAAGTTTTATGAACCTCTTGCGGATGACCCTACGGTGCACCACACTCAGATTGTGACCTCGGTGCTTAAGAATCTCCTAGAGGAGGGAAAAATAACCGCTAACGAAGGTAAATTAATGAAACCGGTACAGCATTCCCCGGGCCGCTTCTACATGCTCCCTAAGAGTCACAAACCTGGTAACCCAGGGCGCCCAATCATATCCGGAATAGGTACAGTAGCCGAACCCATATCAGGATATGTAGAAAGTTTAATTAAAGATATACCTACAAGTCTTGATTCGTACATTAAAGACACAACTCACTTCTTAAGGGAAATATCAAATTTATCCATACCAAAAGGATCCTATCTGGTTACACTCGACGTGTCATCGCTGTATATGAATATCCCACGCGATGACGGAATAATTGCTTTAATTGACATGTACGAACTCCACAAACAACCGGATAACCCAGATGGACACGTCGTCACTACTCTAGCGAGGCTTGTCTTAGAACTCAACACATTCGAATTCAACAATAAATACTTTAGGCAGGTTAGCGGAACCGCGATGGGCACCAAAATGGCCCCGAACTATGCCAACGTATTCATGGGAAAATTAGAATCTCAGTTCCTTTCTGAATGTCCCGTAAATCCGCTATTATACAAAAGGTTTATAGATGATATATTTATTGTCTGGCCGCACACTGAGGAGGAGCTGGTGAACTTCATCGATCGGTACAACGCTGCTCATCCGAGCATCCGCTTTACACAGTCGTACTCTCAAACCGAAATAAACTTCCTAGACGTCAACGTTAAAATAGACGAACGTAAACTCGCCACGCGCCTGTACCGTAAGCAAACAGATCGACAGCAACACCTGCATTATCAAAGCGACCACCCTCACCATTGGAAGAACAGCATTCCCTATAGCCAAGCTCATCGTTTCAAACGAATTTGTTCAAAAGAGACAGATTTTGATGCGAGCAGTCAAAATTTAACGTCAGTGCTTGAGAAACAAAAGTATCCACCCTGTATAATCGACGATGCAATCAGAAAAGCCAAGCAACTGAACCGCGCAGACCTTATCAGCCCGCGCCCCACGCAAAGCGACACACAACGCACAAATCTATGTCTAACTTATAGCATGAACCATCCTAATGTAAATAATATCTTAAGACGGCATTATAATATTCTCGAACAAAGCGAGCACCTTAAACGCGCGTTTCCATCCGCCCCTGGAGTAGTCTACAGACGATCGCGTAACCTCAAAGACGCGCTAGTAAACTCTCGGATAAATTCATCGCCACCACCTAACGAATGTAGGCCTAGCATGCACCCAGGATGTCTGATCTGTAGACAGATGCAGCACACAAGCACGGCCATCAGCACGCACTCGCAGTTCTCGATCAAAATTAAAGGGAACTTAACATGTGCCTCGTCGAATGTCGTGTACTTATTGGAGTGTACGGTATGCAAAATGCAATACATAGGGCAGAATAGAACGGCATTTAGACTGCGCTTTAATAATCACAAATCTCACGCCATAAATCTTACGACACTGCCTCTATCCAAACATCTCGCTCTCCCAAAACACTCGTTTGATAAATTGTCAGTGACGCTCCTAGAATCTGGATTTAAATCAAATCGCGAACGTGAACAGCGTGAATCCTACCTAATTTATCGATTCAACACTATTAAGCAAGGAATAAATGAAAGCCCTGGTACTCTGGCATCGATTGAAATGCTAACAGACGAATAGCAACAGCAACAAGAGGACACATATTTATTTTTTCTTCTTCAGGTCTTATACTTTTTTGTTAACAGTGGTACTGTGTTTGTGACCGAAACTGGACCATCAACTTTTTTCTTTTATTTCCAGGTATTGATATTCACTGTATTTCTTTTGTATTTCTAGGTTGAGCATTGTTCCCTTCCAGGTCTGACTCATACATGCCTCAGAAAACAACACAAATAACCGTTTTTTTTTTTAGACAGCATTTTAGTTTGCGCGTGTAACTTTCGCCTATTGTACGCTATCGTCCAGGTCACCCCTGCCCGCCCGGACAAAAAGTCCTCCTGCGTCCCATCTCACGAAGCTACTACCGTCATCCCGCCGTCCTTAAAACTTGGCCCCGACCGTCAAGCTTCTTCACCCGGATATGAACTGCCTTAGGCTTCTCTCTCACGGAAGCTCCAACCCCCGCCGAAATTTGGACTCGACCGTAGCATTGTCTAAATACCACCCGCGTTCATCTGTAAAAGTTCTTCCTGACGAAGGCCGGATTCCGGCCGAAACGTCGTAGATTATATCGTCCGTTGTTTGTGTTTACACTAAGGGGTTTTTTCTTCTCAGTTTATATATATATATATATATATATATATATATATATATATATATATATATATATATATATATATATATATTGCGGGTAAACCAAAAACCGCTGTTCCAGTCTCGTTTCATTGTCCTCAACTACTTCTTCTTCCGTTTGTCCACCTCTTCTACCTTCTGGGACGCTCGGCCCGCAAAGCAGCGGCGAGTGCCGACACCAACGGCGGGGGCGGTTCCCACGCCCGCCTAGAAATTTGACGGCCGAGCCGGATTAGTGGCAATTGACTGTTAAATTTCGACCGGGCTTCTATCTCAGTCATGGCAATAAACCCTGCCGAAGTCCACGGAACGCGTCTTCTGGTCGATCGCCTGCGGCGGAAGTTGAACGCCACATCTGGCGCCCAAGGGGGATTTCGTCGCTAGTCGTGGGTGGTCTTCTAGCCAGACGTTTCGCTCTGCTTTTTCTAGCTTGCATTTTTTCGGCTTTTCTCTGCGTTTATTTTTCATTTGCATTATTGTTGTCGTTTACATTTGCGCCGAGACCGCGTCTAGTTATTTTCTCGTTTTATCGAGTAGCGTGTCTCCTTTTTTTTTTTTTTTTTTTACATTTCGTGATAGGCCGGCTTGGCTCGCGGCCGGTTTCCCCTTTAGCGCCTAAGTGACGCTGCGGGTTTTGTTTCACGTCTTTTCGTGCGGTCGCGTCTATTGGTTTTTCCCCTTTGAGCGCTTCTTTTTTTTTTCTCTCTTTCCGTGTGTTTTCTCTTTATTGTTTCGTTGTCCCCTCAGAAGCAAATCCCGGACCCGTCCGAGCACGGAGACTCCAGCGACGAGGGACTTGGTCCATCGACGGCTGAGATTCTGGCGCTCATGAAGCAGATGTCCGCTACCTTGACTTTGATGTCGGAGCGCCTGGCAGCTGGCGCGGGCGAGACCGGTGGCCAGCGGGAGAGTAGGCCCGAGCTGCGCCCTCGGCTCCCGGTCCCCGTCTACATAGGGCTCGGCGACAGGAAGTCCGTCGCCGACTTCCTGGAAGAACTGGACGCGTACGCCCGAGCGTCCGGCGCCTCGGAAAGCTACGTGCTGGAGCGCATCCTCCCCCATGCTTTAAAAGCAAGCGCGAGACGATGGTGGGTGTTGCAAACTTCCTTTTCGTCTCTGTTGCAAACTCCCTTTTCTCGCAAGCTGCGGCGCAACGCCGCAGCTTCCGAGAAAAGTTCCTGCCACCGGGGTACGACTCTTAAGTCCAGAGGGAGCTCGAACGACGTACGCAGCGCCCAGAAGAAAGCCTCGTCGAATATATCCGGGCGATGCAGGAACTGTACAACCGAGCGGCGTCAGCTGCCCCCGAGTCGGAGAGAGTTGCTCGCATCGTTCGACAGACCTATCCCCGTTTCCACGTGTACCTTCACGGACGGGACTTCGACACGGTGGAGGACCTCGTCCGTGCAGCGCGCGGCGTGCAGGAGACCCTCCTGGTTACTGCGGATACCGACCACCACCGCCTGCTGCTGAGGCCCTCAAACCGTCCTGCGCGTGGCCAGGCATCAACCGAGCAGCTCCGACTCCGCGCCGGCCTGAAAGGTAGGGCGCCTACGCCTACATACCCCGCGCCCTGGACACCCTTGAGTGCACTCGGGACGGCGTCGGAAGGATCGGTGCTGCATCACCGGGGGGTTAGCGAGAGCTTAAATTCCCGATCCAGGGAAGCCCCTGGCGCCTGGGACTGGTCCTCCCAGGGCCCGCGCTTGGGTGAGAACCCGTCGCGGGTGCCGCGCAACACCGAAAGGGGCCGGCTGCACGACCCTCGGCAAGATTTTTAGGCGGCCGGAAGACCCCAGCGTCAGCCGAAAGGTGGCTGGCAACGGGAACCGGACGTTTCGGTACCGGACATTTCGGTACCGGACGATTCGGTGCGGACGTTTCGGTACGCGGTCGTTTCGGTACACGGTCGTTTCGGTGCACGGTCGTTTCGGTGCGCGGTCGTTTCGGTACGTGGTCATTTCGGTACGTAGTAATATCAGTACCGGTCTTTTCGGTACCAGTCATTTCAGTTGAATGCGCCGCTGACCTTGACCTGCCCTGCTGACCTATATATCCCCGTCATGCATACACCAAAAACAAGGAGTGCGCCTTCTTTTTTTTTTTAATTCGTACTTGCGACGTTTTGTCTAGCCTCTGGTTATACATGGCTTCAATGAAGTGATGTCATTCAAAAAACTCTTTGATGACCACCAGAGTAGAAAGGAAGGAGATCCCTTCTTAATAGGATCCTCTTTTGTGCCTCCCGGATTTGCACAGACGTCGCTATTCTCCCCCCAGAAGATTATAGAAGATTAACCCGTTACTCAAGATTTTTACAAAAGCAGCTTCCCTCTCCTCCTCTTACATGGTGGTGAAAAGTATGCGATGTGAAGTCGGTGCAAGCCATGTATATAAGGGGGTTAGTTTTCCTGTCCGTCATTGCCTGTTTTCGCGCATCGGGGCTAGATCTTCGGCGATGGCTTCCTTTTTACCGAGCAAACGAGGAGGACTCAAGCTTTTATTCGATGGGTTCGAATACGACAAACAACGAGAGAACGGCGACAAGGTATGTGCGGTCTTATATTTCGTAAAAAAATACATGCTGTATGACTTGCATTTAAATGCTACCCACTTAAGCACGACTTCTGTAGCTATCAGTGAACGTTGATATTCAAACACAAACTTTTCTATGTCGGCTTACACTGCCAAGTACCCGCTATTAGAAAGAGTCGTCCCATCTAGCTTTCACGATGCAAACTTCTTACTTTATTAAGACATATGCAAATACAAAATTTGCCACGAAAGAAATATTTAATTTACATCTATATTGCCACCCGCAGAGCGCAGAAAGCAACACTTGGTCACGGTCTCCTAGAAGATTCCTGTTCATTCTCGCACCAGAAGTAACTTTCCCTCGGCTTTGTTATTCTCGAAAGTGCCAGTTCATCCTCGCCCCGAGCGCGCGACGCTCGAGCCTTCTTTGTCAAACTTTCGAGATAGTGACGCACGGTAGATAAGCAGCTACCCGCGACCTTGTGGAGTCAGTCTCGCTAGCGCTCTGTAGTGCCGCCGAATCGCCGCCCGATTTTCTGCTGCCTCGACGCTCTTTCGTTACTTATTTTTGTTTGGCACAAGTTCACCAATTCAACCTTTATCCTTCAGTTCACTTTTCGGCTTCCCGTCAACTTCATTCGTGACAATATTAAGACCTTCCATGTATATGGCTCCTGCAAGCGGATACTAATGCATTGCATGACGACCTTGCAGATCTACTGGCAGTGTAGTCGAAAGCTCGAATGTAAGGCCCGAGCTCACACCATCAACGGAGACGTGGTCAAAACGGTGAACGACCATACACACGGGCCATCGCTGCTCGAACAAGAGGCGAAATTTGCTTACGCCGCCATGAAGGAAAGGTCCCAACAGACGGAAGAAACTAACCAGTGCATCGTCGGCGATTTCGTGGAAGCAACGTCTGCGGAGTCACGGTGCTACCTGCCCTCCCAAGCAACCATGAAAAGAAGTCTGAGGTGAGTTGGAGCAGTTAATTATCTTCGATAATCAACTCATTATTTGTAGTTCTATGTAGAAGTGAATGTCTTGCACGATTATTGTTTTTATGCATGTGTAGAAAACGGGTCCCTATCAAAACGCCGAAAATCAAGAGACCGAATTAGGAAAAGGCCGAACGTCAGTACACCGCAGGATTGAAATGCCGAAAAATTTAAATGCCGAATAGTCAAAATCTCGAAAATACATAACGATGAAACCCATGTGACACGAGCCTGTTTAACTCGTTCTGCAAAGACACGAGTATCAGTATATCAAACTGATGTAAAATTTTGTATTCTTCTATCTGTCGTAAAGGTAGGAGTATCAGTAGGACAAAACAGCTCTCATTAGCCAGCAAAAAAAAAAAAAAAAAAAGCAGTGATGCCCAGTGTTCAGAGTACAAGAGCAGCAGCAATGTGCGGCAGTAATCATTTTATCGATGGAGCGATCAGAGGCCAACCCCGCCGCTCACAAAGCCAGAAGCAAAAGTTGCGCGAAAATCATTTGGCAGCTGCTCTGGGCAACCGGGACGATGTCAACGTTCTAAGCTTTCTTTAAGGAATTGCACACAACTTATCTGTCTAAAATGCAATAAACACGGAATCGCTCTGCTATGCAACGAGATATGCAGTAATACATTTTTCCTTTTTTGAAGACTTGAACCATGCGAAGGGAAGCTACACTTTGGGACCTTTCAGGGCTATTAGAAAAGAGGGCGAATGAGCGCACATTGGCCGGCGGAACTTCTCCCCTAACTTTGATTACATTGCCAAGAAAATTTATCGTGCCAAGAAACTTTATATTTCTTTATAACTAGGTGATGTTTCGGCATCTTGAAACTTCGATGTTTTGACTTTTTGGTTTTTCGAATTTTTGGTATTTTCGGCTTTTTGAATCTTCGGTGTTTTAAATTTCGGCATTCCGATAATTCGGCATTTTGATTTTCGGCGTTTTGAATGCCACTCGTAGAGGACATTCCTCTATGCAGTGTTTTAATTACATTAGAGAGTTTTAGTAGATCGTTTCAAAACCTCCGATAGCCCCGATAACGATACTATGCATGCGCAAGGGAGGCGGTGGCGGAGTATCGGGTATCGTTACCGGAGTCATGAGGACGATTTACTAAAAATCTATATTATGTACAGAACAATTTATAACTGAGAAGCGAAATCATCTTAAAGGGAAACGGAAGCGGTTCTGTATCAAAAAAAAAAAAAAAAAAAAAGAAAAAAGAAAAACATAATTTGCCTTCATTTGGCCTCCGGAATCACGAATATCAAAATTATTTTTCAATTTGGTGCACGGGGGCTGCAGAAAATGTTTTAAAGTACCGTTGAAGCCCACCTTCCCGGAGCGTTACGTCATATTCAGAGTTTTCAGAATCTCCGCTATCACGCATCTTCAGCGCCTATCAAAGGTGTGCACGCGCACTCTTGCTATTTTCAGAAAGGTCAGAAAAAGACGTCACGACTGGTGTCAGTGCTGGGGAAGCTTTGCAATAGCACGCGCTGTCCACACGAGCGACACGCGCTTGGCGACCCAAAGGTCTGCATATGACGTCACGAGTGGTCAGAGAGTTTTCGTGTTTTTTCGCGTTGAATTGCAACTTCGGGGAAAACAAACGTGATATTCAGATTCAAGGGATCAAAATACTCTAGAATTCACTTCTAAATCGGTTTTTTTTTTTCAAGAACATCTTTAGCTTCCCTGTAAGTCGGGGCGGGGCGGTCCTGGGCTCGTGTTGGCGTAATCGCCTTCTCTTTCCTCGCTGGCTGATCACTGCACATGGATGTAAACGATGGCGGATATAAGGGAAAGCAGGAGTGCTCGCTTGGAATGAAGAGCGTGCTGGTAGGGGTAAAGTATAAATAAGGGAAGAACATGAAAGACGAGGATGGACAATATGCCACCCTCCTAGCCATGAAACACACCTCTCCTAATTCAACAGTAGTGGCAATACCTTACTAGTATACTGTTATCTCTTTTCGTTTCAAGGAGACTTCGGGCCCACGAGACACGGCCTCATCCGTTGCCCTCCCGCCTGCAGGACGTCGTGATTCCAGACGAATACGCCGTGAATAAGGATGGAGCACCGTTCCTTCTTCATGATTCCGGTGCGACTGACGCAGAGCGCTTCATTGTGTTCTGTAGCCCAGACATGCTGGCGCTGCTAGGCTCTTCACGGCAGTGGTTTGCAGATGGGACCTTCAAAGTTGCACCTGCTCTCTTCTACCAGCTGTATACAGTTCACTGCAAGGTTAACGGCGCGGTCATCCCTGCAGTGTATGTTTTGATGAGGTCTAAAACAGAAGCTGCATACACTAAGCTGCTCTCGGTTCTAAAGAGCAAGTGTGCCGCTGCTGATCCTTCCACCGTTCTACTGGACTTCGAACAAGCAGCTATTAACGCATTTAGGAGGGTGTTTCCGTCTTGTCAAGCTCTTGGCTGCTTCTTCCATTTGTGTCAATGCGTGTACAGGAAGTTGCAAAGCGAGGGTCTTCAAGAGTCGTATCGGGTCGACGGCGCGTTTAACCTGATGGCACGCATGATCCCCGCAATTGCTCTCGTACCCGAAGGAGATGTCTTTGATGCCTTCGAGGCGTTATCGACGATGCCAGGATTTCCTCCGGAGTTGCTACCGGTCTTGGATTACTTTGAGGACACTTTCCTGGGACGTCTGACAGCCCGCGGCCGAAGGGATCCAAGGTTTCCAGCCTCTCTCTGGAACCACCATGCAACCGTGCTCCGTGGCGATGCAAAAACAACGAACTCTGTGGAAGCGTGGCATCGAGGGTTTCAGACCCACGTTCAATGTCACCAGCCAAGCCTGTGGAAGTTCCTGGCCGTCTTGCAGAAAGAAGACGCCCTGAACCTGCACCGCCTCGAGCGTGTCATCATGGGGGTTGAAGAGAAATCGGCGAAAAAATATAGAGACTCCGCTTCTCGGCTTCAGACGCTTGCGGCGCGCTTTGCAAGAGCGGGCATCATCGGCTATCTGAAAGGTGTAGCTAACAATGTTTCGTTTTAGCATACTGTACCATTTTCGAGATGGTCATGTTATTAAAACTGTGTGCCTCCAATGACTTTCATTTGTTTCTCCACGTCATTGATAATGATCGTTAATCCTGGATAAAATTATAGCACGCCTAATACTTTCTAAATTGGTTAGTTTCTGCTTGTAACATGTATGTATGACAGACAATAGAACTGACAAATACGCAAGTTCTCACATTTGCAGAGAACACGCCCGTTTCCCTCCAGCACAGCCCTCGATGTTTATATCAGAAATTGCGTAAATAACATTAGATATTATGTATTTATAAGAAAATAGATAAACTTGTTAAAGTGTTATCTTTTATCTTGAATGTGAGCAGATAAAGTATATCGGCCAGTAATATTTAAATTGGAAAAAAAGAAAAAAAAATACCTTCTGGCGCTCTCACAACCAAAATTTCCCAATGCACTGTTCGCCGAAATTTTCGGTACCGAAATGTCCGGTACCTAAACAACCACGTACCGAAATGTCCGGTACCGAAACGACCGCGTCCCGAAACGACCGCGTACCGAAATGTCCGCACCGAAACGTCCGGTCCCGAACTGTCCGGTACCGAAACGTCCTAGACCCGCTGGCAACGTGGGAATGATCCGGCGGAGCCGAGAGGTAGCCGACGACGTGGGAGTGAACGGGGCAACCTGGGAACTCAGCGTCAGTTCGACCTCCGCTTTAACTGCGGACAGAGTGGCCACTTCCGCAGCCATTGCCCACAACGGTGGCCCCGTAAGCAGCGAGAACTGCAGTACCAGGGAAACCAACGCAGCCCGCGGCGCTGAACCCGGAGATGTCGCCGCCAACGGCCGCTAGCCCTGGAAATGTTAGTCGCCAGCAATGATTCCTTCTCTATGACGAGTATGACCTACGAATCAAAGTATCGAGCATACGATGACGGCTACTTTACTCGGAATTCCGTTTACCGCACTTCTTGATACTGGCGCCGGCGTTTCGATTATCGGCGCGGTAAGTTTCGAACTCTGCAAGGCGAGGAAAGTGACGCTTCGTTCTCCAACTACGCTTTTGCAGTTAGCATCAGGCAAGTCGATAAAATCGGAAGGTGCAGTACTGCTTAGAATTTCCTTTAACGGAAAAAGGCGGCGTCAGCGTTTCTTTATCTGCCGGGGTGAGCCGTACCTATTAACGTGGGAAGAGATTTCATTTCAGGCGAAAACATTTCACTCGACTTCGCTCCCGGTGGTTATCGTCTGAACGACCAGTCCCACATCACACCCTTCACCAGGCGGAAATACTGCATCACTGGCGCAACCCTTCCGGCCCACTACACAACGCGGCCGGCAGCAGCTGTTCCTGGTAGCATCAGAGGCGCCCTCACCGCGTGCCCAGCCACCGCTCTGCAGAAGCAACAGCTCGAGAGCATCCTGCACCCGTTCGGTACGATGTTTACAGAAACCTCAGGCAAGACCGACCTGTTGTTGCACCGCACTGAGACTGGCAACGCCCGAATACTGCGGTGCAACCCGAGACCTCTCAGCGTCCACAAGCGAGCCCTTCTAGACGCAGCACTACATGAGATGCTGGATACAGGAGCAGTGCAAGAGTCCCAGTGCCCCTCGGCCTCTCCCGTCGTCTTGGGTCCGAAGAAGGACGGCTCCGTACGACTGTGCGTGGATTACCGCCGCCTCAATGAAGTAACGGTGAGAAATTCATACCCGTTTCCTTCAATTGACTTGATTATGTATTCTATCGCCAACGCAAGAGTGTTTACTACTTTGGATTGCAGCCTAGGATTCTTACAAATCAAGATTGACCCGGAGGACGTCCGAAAGACTGCGTTCACTTGCCACAGAGAATTGTTCGAATTTACTCGCCTCCCCTTTGGCCTTGCGAATTTACCCGCTAGTTTCCAGCGCGTAATGGACATTGTTCTCGACGACACAAAGTACCAATTCGCCATGGCTTACATGGATGACGTCGTCGTTTTTTAAGAACTTGGGGGAGCACCTCGAGCACCTACGAATTGTTCTCGAGCGCCTTCGAACTGCCGGCCTAACAATTCACCCTGGGAAAATGCAACTCGCTTCACCACAAATTAACCGTCTTGGTTTCGTGGTGGACAGCAGTCTTCTTTGCCCCAACGAGGACAAAGAAGCTGCGGGCAATAGCAGAGTACCCGCAGCCACACGACGTCAAGAGTTTGCAGCGGCTTCTTGGCTTGATTGGATTTTATCGCCAATTCATCCCTTCCTGCGCCGAGATCTCTCACCCTCTGACTTTGCTCTTGCGCAAGGGCGAGAAATGGTGAAGGGGGGAGGAGCAGCGCGACGCCTTTCTTTGCCTCTCGAAAGCAACTATCGACGTTGCCTCTTTGCAGTTACCGGATCTCAATCGTCCATTTGTTGTTCAAGCAGATACCAGCAACTTCGTCCTCGGCGCGGTCCTGCTTCAGGAACAGAACGTCCTTCGCCCAGTCGCCTTCGCCAGCCGCACGCTGACAGCGGCCGAGCGGAACTATTTCGTAACGGAAAAGGAATGTCCCGCCATCATCTTCGCCCTCAAGAAGTTTAACATGTATCTCGACCATCTGAATCATCCCAGCCTCCTCCGCCTTGGTCACCAATACTGACTTGTTCAAAACTACCATTCCTAATAATTTTGCATAGTCCATTTAATTAGTGCCGAGGAGTAATTGATCTATTAACCTACCAATTAATCTATTAATCCTTATCTATTAATCGAATAATAGATAAGCATTAATCTTTTAATCTATTAATTTTGTAACCGGAGAATCAGTAAAAATTTTCCTAACCAAACTAAATTAAAACTCAACGTCTTCACCACGAAGATATGGACGGGTACACTTCTATTAAGGGAAAACTTTAGGTGGAATTACATTCCAGAATATATGTAGGGGAGAGATTTCTAACTTCATATATATGCAGAAGATTTCACGTGTTCCGGCCACCTCAACGCCTTGCGAGTACTCTTTCAGCGCTGCAGAGATTACTGCGAACATTCGAAGGAGGTCACTCTTGCCGGAGAATATCGACGTCTCGCAGCAGTCACCTAGCTGTGATTGAAGATTTGTGTTTGTCCTTTGTCCCTCTTGTTCTCCTTCTCTAAGGATTATTTTCGTCATCAACAAACTCCTTTGCCTCATGCAGCTGAAGCAAGAATCTTCGGTTATGCGTGTTTCGAACTGTTCCAAATACTCATCGAGGTTTATTCAAAATAGAAATTGATGTATTGCGACGTTTATCACATATTCAGAAAAGGCAAAAAACAAAATAAACATGATTTTACGAAAATAGTGTTCATAAAATGACCGAGACCGATTAAAAGATTGATTGATTAAAGGGGTCGATTAACTGGTTTAAACTTTTAATGGACGCACCAGCCCTACTTTTAACATGCTTATTTTTTGTTGTTATTAATTCAAACCACTCCTCTTTGCAAAGTTTTCACCTTTAATGGTATATAAATAGTACAATCAATTAATAAACGAATTCGTTCTCGAAGGCCCCGAGATTGTCACCGTTGTTTATAAAAATGTGTAATCTATAAAGGGCTCAAACTTTTTTTGCAGTTCACATCACACAAAATGTATCATGCCGTAACTACTCGAGCAATAGCTGCATAGTTTATGAAGAAAACCTGAGGGTTCGCTTTTCCGCGAATGACGCGGATTGCCAATCACCGCGATCGACCGCATGATTCCAGCGGTTTACAGGACAGAGATAACGTCTTCGTGCGAAGATACCATCTGTGAGGATTGCATTTCTATGGAGAATCCTTTTCTGTATCTGGTTATTCCCTCCGTTATTTATGCGCAACGTGATGATCGGCTGTATTTGTGTTCCATGGGAAAGTAGGCTCAATGGCCTTGTTCATAAATAGTGCGACTATTACTCGAGTAAATACGGTATCTCAGGAAAACATTTTCGGCACGGAACAATGAGCACTTTCGGGATACTGCAATGTGGCTTGTTTGTTAAACAATCATGGTGTTTTCTTCCAATTCAACAACAACGTTTCGGTTTCGATTTATTAAAAAAGAAAACAACTTTGAACATGAAAAGGATATAAAACACAAGAGTTCTTGCGGACAAATAGAAGTGGCCGCTTGTCGCTACTGAAAAGAGCAGAGGGCTTGAAGAATTACGTCAGTTTCTGACATTTGAATGATACGTAAGAAATAACTTCCTGACATTTGGAAAACGACATTTATTACGAACGACTCCTGCGCAAGCCTCCGTCTTGTTTTCGGGAGCGGGCTTTTGTCGCTTGAGTGTGAAAACGTCTATACAGGCCCCGTTAAGTGAGAAAAATAAATGTCTCTTTTTTTTTATTTCAAGCTACCGACGTCTGTCATTTCTGCATTTGCCAGTGAAAGCTAATATATAAATCTAAACATATATGTAGATACATATACGAAAATTTATATATATGTATATATATATATATATATATATATATATATATATATATATATATATATATATATATATATATAGGGTGGTTCAAGTCACCAGGCTCGATCTATAATGGACCGTAAAAATCGACACCTGCACGTAGCCATTTAAACTTTTCGTCAAAGGTGGAATTCACAGGTCGGTTTTTTCTTGTAAAGTTACAAAGCGTAGCTCTCTTTCTGTAAAAGATAAGGCCAAGAAACTTGCCAGGGTCTACGGTGGGCAGCAACGCAGTCGACAGGAGTCCAGTTGCGGAGTGTGTTTGGCGTTCGTATTGATAAATGGCGCTACCTCCTTACCGCGACGGCTCGCGACCACCGTGGCTTGTTAAAACTAAAATAATCTTTTCGAAATGTACCTTCGGTTAAAAAATAAATCGAAACAATAAAAACAAAACTTAAAGCATACAAACGCGTCTGCTTAACGGTCGTCTGCGTGTCATCTGCTTTCTTTCGCTGGTCGGCTGCACCTTCAGACGCTGCTCCCGACGCCATCTATCAACACGAACGCCAAATGCACCCTGCTACTGGACTTGGTCGTCTGGGTCGCAGGCCGCCGTCGACCCTGGCACGTTTCTTTGCCTTAATTTTTACCGAAAGGGAATTACGCTTTGTAATTTTACAAGAAAGAAACCGAGCAGTGAAATACACCTTTGACCAAAAGTTCAAATGGCTACGTGCAGGTGTCGATTTTTACGGTGCATTTTAGATCAATCCTGGTGAGTTGAGCCACCCTATAGATATATAGAGTGGCTCAAGTCGCCAGGCTCGATCTAAAATGGACCGGAAAAATCGACGCCTGCACGTAGCAATCTGAACTTTTCGTCAAAGGTGTTTTTCACAGGTCGGTTTTTTCTTGTAAGAAACAAAACATAGTTTTCTTTCTGTAAAAAATAAGGCCAAGAAACCTGCCTGGGTCAACAGCGGCCGGTGACGCAGATGATCAAGTCGAGGTGCGGGGTGTGTTTGACGCTCCTATTGATAGATGGCGCTTCCTCCTTGTTTCGGTCAGGGCTCTGCTTCCGGTTTGCTTTTAAAGAGATATCGAAAGT